CACCCATTAATCAGGTTAACTTTTTTGATATATAAATTTCGAATTCAAAATAAAATATGGTTGATTCAAACTTTGAAATGTGCTGACTAGCGTGTTGGCGCTTTAAAAAAAGCTCAGGGGACTGAGGTTTTTGAAGGTGGTACTTGTAATATTAGAGATTTTAAGGGGTGGTACCCGAGAAAATGGTCATTAGTATAAGGGGATTTAAAGATTGAATACATGGACCAATTTCTCATAGACCGACTCTGTTGGTACAAAGACAAAACATAATCCATACACATGTGTTTCAACTAATAATCAAAAATTTTTCAGGTGTACCTGGTCCGGTTTTCAAACAAAATATGTGTTGCCTTTACTCGTGATTTTCACGATTTCATTCAAAATGGATGTGTCCTACTCATCATACACACAAACCGGTTTTGTTTAAACTTTGTAAAACGGACTGGCAAAGTGGTGCTTATATTTTTTGAGATAGTTATTTCCGCTGATACTCTGAATGCAGTTCATTCACAACCAGTCCTACATATATGGCCAGGACACGTTTCATATTGAATAAAACGTATTCTTCAGTGATACAAGACAAACATGTCTACTGTTATTTAGTTATTTATAATATCTAAGACTTTTTATGTCTAGTCCGTTCTTGGTAAAGACCAGCAGTATTAACAGGGATATTTCTCATATATATAATCAGCTGAACTTGATGCTGGTCGATTTCGTGTAACGACCAACTCTGATGATTTGAAGTCGACCATAAATTCTGGTATTTATTTAATAACCTCAAATTATCAAATCTGCTACACACTACTCATACGATGCGCCGTCGCCTTAAAATACTGTTATTATTGCACAAGTTATTATTGCGCTCGAAGATAGGAGTTTTAGATAAAATATTGCACCATATGGAAACGTCGCTGTTATTAAGCGACTCAAGTAAAAATGAAGGGATTATTTTAGATGTCTACCGTGACTGTTTCAAATTACAGTTCATCTATACAAAGAAATAAATAATAAAATCACATACTGTATATAAAGGGAAATATTCACCGGATTAAATATTCACCAGGTTTCATCTTGCAGGCATATTCACCAGGTTTTTATTTCACTGGATTGTGAAGGAAACGATACATTCTGATCCTAATTTTGAAAATTTAATGGGTTTTAATTCAGCATTAGCTGTCAGTACAATAAGTGAACATAAAAGCCGGAGAACAACGTAGCATATGCAGAAGCTAGCTTATAATAACGGTAATTACACCGTGTACATTTAGTTACCGACATTCTCTCAGTGGTATTACATGTAACAACGTGTTTAGTTATTACCATTATTAAAATGTGGGAGAACAATGAATAGCTCTCAAAATAAAAGAACAATGGAAGGTTAAAACCGTCGGTATATTTCATCATGGTATATATTTAATATTACAGATAGGAACTATTTTATCTCTAACGAACTTGCATGGCATTGCGAGTACTACCCCAATCGTCACTGCTATCTGTTGATGAATTGATGAAAGTGACCTTGTCTGGCGGAATCATAATACCATGTGCAAGCATGCCAAACAAATCTGAGCGGAGGCGGGGGCTGTGAACAATGGATATTTTATCAATTTTGGCACATCTCGATATGTCACCCTTATCCACTGACAGGATTTCGAAATCTCATCCTCCTATCAGGGGGAAATCTTCTCCACGGGGTTCTCCACACTTGTCAGGGGGGAATCTCGTCTCGTCTCTATATCTCGTCCCCTTGAGGTACGGGATCGGGAAAGTCACTTTAACTTTACAGTCAAATAAGACACACACAACGAAATACGTTTCAACTCTCGTCTTAGTCGATCAGTCGAGCACTCTATAAGACACAGCGCCCTGGGGAAAAAATCCCCAAGACTCTCTTAGACTGCGTCAACACTCGCCCCAAGGCTCTCCAGGACTGGACCACGACTGCGTCTATCGTGGAGTACTCGTCAAGACCAACTCAAACTCTCTTTATTCATTTTCAAAACTCTAACCAATTACAAAGCAGTAAAAAGACTCTAGGGCGTAACCTTCAATCATAAAGCCAATCACACTAAGTACTGAATACGTCATATCTTTTGAATAATCGTTCACTACATTAATAACTATGAATATAAACTGTCAGAATCGCGACGGTTATCTGGTAATTAGTTCCAAATCACTGAGCCAAGTTCCGTCCAAAACTTCAAATAGGCCTGAACGATGACAGACATAACACAGCAATTCAGCTAATAATCAGCTAATTAAGTCGGTCAACAGATACGCAAAAACAAATTCATGACACTCCCATAGTGGCAAGTGTAAACGCGGCATAAACACAAATACGCGATATCGGACGTCTGGTGCTGGAGCTAAAAATGATTTAGCTCCATGATCTGAGAGACGCTATACTGGTCATATCTAGAACTTCATCGCCGTGTATAAATATAAGTTACTGTAGTGTATCATTTTTGCACCTGTTAACTTGACATATAAGATACATAACAGAGTCGAAGGGCATTATAAATACAGTTGTCATCATACCATGGCACAAACCTTTTTAGTACAATCAGACAAAGGAAATGCTTCAAGAAAATTAAATTCGGAATTCGAAAGCAAATATAGTCTTTTTCCTGAAAAGCATATTTCAAAAAAAAAAGGATTATATCATCAAAACGCAATATTTCTGCAAACCACGCTTCAGATGTCACATTGCGTGATGGCGCCGTAACACGTGGATTCGTGTCGTGTTACAATATAATCGAATAACATGATTTTCCTATTTGTTTCCAAATATGACTTTAAACCCATACCAGTGAAAAATTATATATAATTACGTTATGGAAAAAAAAAACAACGGACAATGTCAGAAATGTTACACGGTTTACCGATTCATAATTTCAATCGAAGTCCAATATGTTATGCTTTTTTTTTTATCTCAATTCACAGCACGTCTGTCAGAAACCGTAATCCGTTTACCAATGAATCGAATATTCCATATGGTAACTCTGTTTGGCAATTGACACCAGAATTGAAAAGCTAGTTTACCGATTAGGCCACATGTTGTATAATAAATTGTAATATGTTGCATTTCATTTCAATTTTGACTGCAGCCCGGGCTAACTGTAGCATGAAAAACTAAAATTTAAATAAGAAGATGTATGGGACGAATATCTATGATATAACATGTGATGTTCAAGGCATCGAAAATACCTATTATATGAGCCATATGTTCAACAGGTATACATATTAATGAATAACAACAACATATTGAAAACACTTTCATTGAATCGAAGCTAGACCACATGAAATAAACATTGCATTAAAATATTATTTTAGTAAATATATTTTTTTTTATCTAATCAATTATTGGTAATAATTTAAATGACGATTTATACTGTAAATATATATAACCGGGTACAGAATAAAGACTTACACACAAAAGACGGAAATATTTCGTAACAATACTAGTACATATCTGGCCGACTTTATGGCTTTAGCAGTGCAGTGAGAACAACATCAAGAGAGTCCCTGAACGGCGACCGTATTCCCGGTTATTCTGATATACTCGTCCAACTGCCGACGTTACAGGTTGTGTGTGGGGGGGGGGGGCTAAATGCGTAACATTGTACAGTCAATGATAGCTAATCACACGTGCCTCACGTAGCAGGCCTTACTAATTGATACATGTTGGACCAAAATACTACTAAGTATACGAGAAAACAATGAAACGATGTCGTGTATTTTGATGCCGTGGGTTTGTCATCCACCATAGTGTTGGCCATATCTGCCATATACTATACGGCGACAGCGGGATGTTAACGTAACGTGGTATCGAGCTCATTTTACAGTTGAATAATAATGAGGAGTCAACCATTTAAAATTATAGGAGGGTGGCTTGAAAATTTGTTTTAAAAATGCAAGCTAGACACTGAGGGAACAAACAAAACATGCAAGATGTTCAGACAATCAATAACAAATAAAAATGGACAGATGAGACATCGCGAAAATATAATTACACTGTACTTCGTGCCACCCCCTGGAGTTCAAATGGTTGACACCTGACAGGGGCCCCGCTACTGATATTGTCAAGGACTAGAAAAACAACCATGTTTTTGACCGACTATGACGTGTGACCGGCATTTACCATAATTATAAAGGTGGATGCATACTAGATTAAGACAATGGAGTCATCTGTGAGTGACGTGTACTATTTTGTCCTTATGTACACGGGTGCTTCGCGTACGATATCAGTTTTTAATACTCCTATAGACGTGGATGTAGGATTCTCCGCCTCGTTGTGAATTCAGCAATGAATTTACGTCGCTTCTACGGCACTGATTATAGGACAACACCCATTTTATCGCGTTTCCCATACATCTCATCGAGCCGCGAATGGAAGTTGTATACATGTATTGTTCCCACGACGACATGCGCTTTGGAGGGCCCCTTTCTAATTAGCATATGGACATTTTCGTATTACCATCGGTGGTGGCGCGTATCATGAAGGAGTATTGCCTGCCTATTTTTTCTTTTTGCTTGTTTTCCCTGTGTTCATACGCAAGCACAATTGCTAACATTTTCATGTATTTGAAACAAATGAATATAATTTACTAATAGCCGAAGATCTAACTGAATTTCTTCAAAGAAAAATGGAAAAAAAATAGTTGGGTTAATTAATGAAAGTTATACTAATTCCGAATAATTTGTAGGACATCTGATGGTTTTTGACAGCTTATTGTCACAAAATCATGACACTTCTGCAGTAACTAATGCATCATAAAGTATTTTGGTCGAGGCTGAAAAAAAATCCAGGGCGGAAACAAAAGCAGTTACCAGTGTGTCTCCACAATGTTTTCAGAGCACCAATCAAAAGACTTGTACAATAAAAGATTTGGCCAATTCACTCAAAGACAGACTAACTTTAATAAGGCAAGCAAAAATGCATGCTTTATGACCATGAACAAGATGAATGCATCAAAGATGGATTTTCGACAGAAACACAACATTTTTCTAAATATAATTACAGTCTACAGTACTCATTAGTTTTTAAATCACAGGACTTTATTTACTGCGTATACAGGAATTCTTAACAGATATGATGCAACATATGCACACCATAAAATGACATGTAATTGTCTACTAGTGTACATTAATTAATTTCATGAATATTTCTCTAATTGCTTTTGCAAACCAGAAATCTATTATTATATCTGGGTTTCACAAATGGAACGAGAGAAAAAAAAAAGATAAATTTGAGTAAATATTCAAAACTCCTAAACCGGTACTGTAAAATACTTTATTTTAGATGTAATTAATTTTCGCTGAAAAGATTTTTTGGGTGTTTTGTATGGAATTGATTTTCACTGATTTTTGACTTATCGAATGTAAAATATAGGGAAAAATGTACATTTGCTAGATTTTATTTTCAATGAATCATTCCTTTAGCGAAAATAGCGGAAATTAATTCCAAACGAAAATAAAGTATTTTACAGTAATTCAAATTGCCTTGAGAGTATGTTCAACTAAAATTTGATAATGATGACTGAACAGTCACTAAGTTGCAATTTATGTATGTATGTTTCAATGAATGTAGAAATAAATGATATTCACCTTGGATAACAATAAACCGTACAGTCCATGTTTAGCAAGTATTGCTATACTTGTGAATACATAGATGGTAGATCTATAACAGCTGCGCCACCAATGCACCAATGAATAAATTCTTTTGTTTATTCCCACCTCTGCACAAGAAACAATGATTACATGATGTCATTCCTCATTCCATCGATGGAGGTTTTTGCGGTAAACACTTTTTAAAAGCAGCTCGGTTTTTGATCCTCTCATTGTATGCTGAAAGGGCTGGGTAGTCCTTCAGTAATTCTCCTTTTTTGATCACGGCAGCCCACCATACGTTATACCCGATCACGCAATCTGCCGCTGTAAATCTGGAGAGATAAAATTAGTTGATGTTGCCAGAAATTTGTGTCATCATTCACATTGTAAACAATATTTATTTTCAATTTTTTTTAAAAACATTTTGATCAAGCTTATAGAAATTATAGAAGAGTAAAAAATAATATTGGGGAGGGACACGAAGGGTTACCGATAATCTCCAAAATAAAAAGTAGGCACAATTACCAAGTTCCCTAGAGTCATTTCATCTTCAAATTTTGTAAAATTAATTATGAACATATTTGTTTCACAGAATATTTGGTTATTTTTTATCCCAACAGACAGATATTTCGAGGTAGGACCGACAAAGTGAAATTATCAACATTGATTTCAGCCAAGTCAACAATCTTGAAAATCCATAACTTCATAGTACCAGTATTTGTCTGGTAGCGAAATTGACATGAACCAAAAAATGTCACTCAGTACACAAGCGACTCTGAGAGGGGAGGGTAGTTTTAAACTAACCTCTCTCCACATATCCATTCCCTGTCTGTCAATGCATTATTTAAATAAGCTGCAATCACATGGTACTTCTTCAACAGTTTGTCGATCAGTGACTGGTCTATTTTATCTTCGGGAGTGTGTGTGAGTTGCATATACAGCGGGTCAAGCACACTGTCCATAGTACATGATGCATACACAATCCAACTGATGAGAAATAGAATTACAGTGAGTTCCGCAGGAAAACATGAAACACACAAAAAAAATGGAATATGGCTTATTTCATCCCCCTTTTTTTTTCAAGTTTTTCAGTTTTCTGTTATATTATCCAAAGAGCAATGGTCATCGGTCAGTCGATATTCAACAAACAATGAATATTATACATGTATTATACATTCATGGAACTCATCACCAAGCATGACGTGGTACAACTACTATCCTTAAAAAAAGTAAAATTGTTGGCCCTGGTATGGCATTTGACATTGCACAGTAGCATCTATAAAAATTTGCTTTTGTATACGCCATGTTCCTGTGCAATATTTCGGGACTCATAACAATTCACAATAATAAAATTGTCATTCTAATTGCAATCTATGGAACCTCAGTTACTCCTTACACTAAATGAGTTTGCTTAAACTTACTTATAGTACTCTCTACGTGCATATCTGTTCGGTACAAGTTGACCATACAGATCGGCAAGATACATGCAGATAGCAGCAGACTCTAATATGGTATGGTTATCATCAACGACCAATGCTGGCAAGGTTCCGTGAGGATGCACTTCCCTCTTGTACTTTTCCATTTCAACTGGATTGTCTTCATGAATGTTGAACTCTATGATTTCAACTTCATCTTCCACTCCAAGTTCTGTTTCAAAACATAAGCATTGATATATACAGGATTGTTGTGCATCTTTCTTTTAAAAGGAGTTGTTTTAATGTTTTTTTTCTATTAATATCCTGTTTTCGTAGATTAGTTTATTGTTTATTACTTCCTTATTAGTGTATTAATACGATATACTTTTACTATTATCTGTAACCATTGCCACTCCCTTCTGAGAGTGAGTAAGTGTTAATAAATAAATATGATAATACATGCTATCACTCTAATTCCCTTTATAATAGGTACCAGTATGTGAAATAAGGTTTTTTGTATATTTTAATTATTGCATATTTATAACTGAAGAAGACACAAGAGAATACAGATATAGATGATAGCACAAGTTTCTTTAATGTAATATAAGGCACATTTGTTAATTGTACCTGTATGGGTATGGTACAGTGGTTTAGGTCAGTGTGTACAACTTGCGTCAAGAAGGTTGCATTAGATTCCATCCCCAGCCGACTACTCACTTAGCAGTATAAGCGTCCATTATGGCCAGACCACCAATTATTTTGGTATTAGATTTGGGAAAATGGCATCATATTGGATTGGTGTACA